CTCAACCTTTGCTCCCGCGAAGCCATGGGCCTCTTCTCCCAATACGCTGCCATCGGCGTCATCTATGGCATGATCCCGGCCCTCAACTACCCCATCTTCAACGTGTACCTCCAGCTGGAAGGGTACCAGACCGCGTCGTACTCGACGCTAGTGACGCTCGGGTGGTCGTTCAAGGTGTTTATGGGAATGTTCTCCGACTGCTTCCCGATCTTCGGGTACCGCCGCAAGTCGTGGATGTTGATCGGGTGGACGGCGACGATGATCTGCTTGGCGATCATGGCGTTCTCGTCGTTGGGTGAGCCGTACTGCAACCGCCAAAAGGCGGCCGAGCGCAAATCGAAGGCGTGCACCAAGCCGTACTCGAACGCGTCGATGAAGGACCAGGACTTGTTCTTCAACCTGTCGGCGCCGGACAACGGGGGTCTGTTTATCATTTTGTCCATGTTTGTGTCGCTGGGGTACGTGACGGCAGCGTGCGCGTCGGACGCGATGGTGGTGCAGTACGCGCAGCGCGAGCCGCTGGCGATCCGCGGCCGCGTCCAGACGGCGATCTACACGGTGCGCACGATGGCGGGCATCATTGCGTTGATCGTGACGGGCTTTGGACTGAACGGCGTCAACTACAACGGGTCGTTTTCGTTCTCGATGGCGCCGAACGTGCCGTACGGCATCTGCTTGATTCCGTGCGTGATTGTCGTCGTGACGACCTTGTTTGTTGTGCAAGAAACCAAGACCCCTGGGACTCCGTTCCGGGAATGGGTGGGTCACTTCTGGGAGTTGTTGCAGAAGCGCGTGATGTGGCAGGTCTGTGCGTTCCGCTTCATCAACAACGTGTTCCAGAGCATCGGCTCGACCGCTGGGTCGCCCATGTCTAGCACTTGGGCCGACGTCGAGCCGTTGAACGACTCGCTGTCCTCCATCCTTGGGAATGCCATCTTTTCAGCCATCTTGATCGCGGTCGGCAAGTGGGGTCTGCACTGGAACTGGCGCTGGGCCATCGCGATTTCTTCGGTTGGTGTC